TCCCACTCCTGGGTACAGAAGGGATGCGCCTCAACATAAGAAAGACCCATACATGGGAAATACAAAGCGAACATTATACTCAACCATGAAAAGCTGAAAGCTTTTCCTCTAAAATCAGGAACAAGACAAGGGTGCTCACTTTCATCACTTTTATAGGACTTCCTTGTTTTATTCAACATATTCAACATTGGAAGTCCTAGCTAGAGCAATTAGGATAGAAAAAGGAAAAAAAGGCATCCAAATTGGAAAGGAAGAAGTAAAATGGTCCCTATTTACAGATGGCATGATACTGTGTACAGAAAAACAGAGACTCCACCAAAAAGCTGTAAGAACTAACAAATGAATTCAATAAAGTCACAGGATACAAACAAAATTAACATACAGAAATCAATTGCATTTCTATACACTAGTAACAAGGTATTAAAAAGAGAAATCAAGAAAACAATCCCATTTACAACTGCATCAAAAAGAATAAAATATCTAGAAATAAATTTAAAGAGGTGAAAGACCTGTACTCTGTAAACTACAAGATAGTGATGTAAGAAATAGAAACAACAAAAATAAAGATACAGTGTGCTCCTAGACTAGAAGAAAATATATTGTTTAAATGTCCATTCTACCCAAAGCAATCAAAAGATTCAATGCAAATTCCATCAAAATACCAGTGGCATATTTTATAAATCTAGACCCAAGAATCTTAAAATTTGTATGGAACCACAAAAGAGCCCAGTCTCTTCAATAAATGGTGTTGGGAAAACTGACAGCTACATACAGAAGAATGAAACTGTATCACTATCTTATACCATTTATAAAAATAAATTCAAAATATATTAAAGACCTGAAAGTCTTTAAACACCGAAAACCATAAAACTACTAGAAGAAACCATAGGCAGTAAAGTCTATGAGATTGGTCTAAGCAATATATATTATTAAATATTTTTGGACTAGTATTCTCAGGCAAGAGTAGCAAAAGCTAAAATAAACAAATGGGATTATAGCAAACTAATAAGATTTTGCACGGCAAAGGAAACCATCAACAAAAAGGAAAGGTAACCTACTGAATGGGAGAAGACTATTTGCAAATTTTATAGCAAATCATGAGTTCGTGTTCAAAACACAACTCAGTATCAAAAAACAATGTAATCAAAAATTGGGCAGAGGACCTAAATAGACATTTTTCCAAAGAAGACATACAGACAGCCAACGGGCACATTAAAATGTGCTCTATAAGATCATAATCGTCACGTAAATGCAAACCAAAATCACCACCTCACCCCTGTCAGGAAAGCTATTATCAAAAAGATAAAAAAAATAACCAGTGTTAGTGAGGATGTGAAAAAAAAAGGGAACCCTTGTACACTGTTGGTAGGAATGTAAATCAGTACAACTACTATGGAAAACAATATGGAAGTTCCTCAAAAAATTAAAAATAGAACTACCTCACAATCCAGCAATTCCATTTCTAGATTATCTGAATAAAATGAAAATATCAATTCAAAGAAACACCTGCACCTCTATGTTCATGGCAGCATTATTTACAATAGCCAGGATATAGAAGCAACCTGAGTGTTCATCAATATATGAATGGATAAAGATGAGATATACACACACACACACATACACACACACAGATACACACACCAGAATATTATTCAGCCATAAAAAGAGAATGAAATCTTGCCATTTGAAACAACCTGGATGAATCTAGAAGATATGCTGAGTGAAATAAGTCAGACTGAGAAAAAAAAAATATATGATTTCACTTATATGTGGAATCTAAGCAAAAAAACAAAAACAAAAACAAAACAAACAAGTGTATAAAACAGAACAGAAAAGTTTCATAAATATAGGAAACAAACTCTTGGTTACTGGAGTGCTAAGGAGTGGGGGGGTGAGCAAAACAGATAAAGGGGATTGAGAGCTACAAGCTTCCAGTTATAAAATAAATAAGTAATGGGGATGTAATATACTGCACAGGGGATACAGTCAATGATACTGTAATAATTGTGTGTGGTGATAGATGGTAAGCAGACTTTCCATGGGGATTATTTCATAATGTATAAACACATTAATCACTCTTATGTACTCCTGAAATTAATAAGATATCGTATGTCAATTATACTTCAATAAAAAATTAATTAAAAAGAGTAAAACTAATCCTAAAGATCAAACAATAGCATGTCAGACATCAAAAAAAAAATTTTTTTTTCAATAGTCACCTATTCCTGGATTGAATTCTGTACCAGAAAAAAACAAGTATAATGAACACCATTGAGACAAATTTTAAAAATTCGATATGTACTGTGGATTAGACAATCACATTATATCAATATTAAAATTCCTGATTTTGATTAATTATATTATGGTCCTTAAGAGAATGTCCTTGTTCCTGGGTAATACACATTGAAGTATTTCTTTGATCAAGTGTCATAATCTTTATGATTTTCTCTCAAATGCTCACAAGAAAGGACAGTGTGTGTGTGTGTGTGTGTGTGTGTGTGTGTGTGTGTTTGTGTGCATAGCTAAGCAGGGCAAAAGACAGATACTAGGTAATGAACTGGATAAAGAGCATACAGGAGTATATAAGAGTTTGTATTTTCTTGCATTTTTGCAAATTTTCTATAAATTTGAAATTTATCAAAGTAAAAATTTACCAAAAAAATCAAAGCAATACCTTTAGAGAGCTAATTTAACAAATCAACCCATTATTTGTTAAATCAATTAATAAAGAATATTCTATAATTATAGCTGAAAATTAAACTTCCAACATAGAACACAAGCTTAAGATAAAGTAATAAATGCAAAGGAAAATAAAAACTGGTTAAAATAGTTGAAGAAAATATAATTAAATACATTGTACAAAGAAGATCCAACATTGACAAAATAGGTTTGTCAGCAGGAGAAAGCCAAATGGAACAGAAAAGCAATTCAAACACACAACAGCAGAAAATTTCTCTGAAAATAAGGAGAAGTTTATTCTACAAAAAGAAAAAGAGCCCTGTGCTTTAAGAAATGCTCAATTATCGATATTGAAACACATTCCTGGTCCAGTTATTGAATTTCAAAGATAAAGAAAAAAATTCTTCAAATATCTAGTCTGGAAAGAAGCCTGTCACATGGAAGAGAGAGAGTGAAGAAAGAAATCAGGGTAACCTGAGACTACGTCATAACAGAATTCAGACCCAGAAAACAAAGAATCAGTATGTACAAGGTTTACAAGTAAAATGACCCAAGGAACTTACCCTCCACTGATATGCCATTGAAATATAAAGGAAGCACACATTCCCAAACATGAAAGAACTCAAGTGGTAGAGCTACCATGAGCCCTACCTGGGAGGAAAACTATTTGACAATTAAATTTAACCAAACAAAAGTTAAAAAGAAAAACTACACTAAACTAACTAGCATCAATAATCAGGGACAGAAGACAGTGGAGAAATGTCTACTCAGTGCAGAGGAAAAAACTTGTCATTCCCTAAATTAATCTAGCTAACTTGCCAATTGACCATAAAGTCGAAACAGGCATTCTGAAGAATTCCACAATCAGACCTTCTAGAGATGAATCAAAATAAAAGGCTCAGAATTGGAAAGTCATAATAAAAATGCTAGTACTGATCATTTAGTCTAATACGAATTTTCACTAAGAAAAAGAAAAAGGAAACCTTAAAAAATGGAAAATAAAATTAAAATAGCAATACATTCTATTAGAAATATAATATATAAAAATATATATATTTGTATATATAATTTTTATATAAAATACAGTTATAACCGCATGTGGCTTAAAAAAAAAAGAACAGGGCACCAGGTGGTGCAGGCCGCTGAGAATCCTACATTTGGTTTCTGCTCAGGTTCCGATCTCAGGGATATAAGATCGAGCCCCACCCTGTGTTTATCGGCTTAGCAGGAATCTGCTCAAGTTTCTCTCTCCCTCTTCCCTCCCCTTGTGTGCGCTCGCTCTCTCTCCCACTCTCTCTCTCAAATAAATGGATAAATCTTTAGAAAAAAAAAAAAGAACAATTGAGTCCTCTTATTATAGGGACTTAATCGTTATTGTCTAAAACTAAGTCATATATAGTTATAAATGGCCTTCATAGCTTAATGTTTCCTTTTTCCCTTTTCCTTAATTTTTAAAGGGATATTTATAAAAAGTTATGGGATAGACTATATAAAATTGCCAATATCCCACTGTTTCTTGTGTACAAAATGGCAGTTTCATATATGTCAACTTCATATTTTTGTAATGAAAAAATACTTCTCTGAAATGGACAATTTCCTTTAGTTTCATTTCAATTTCTCTTTTGTGAAACAGGGTATATACAAAATTATTTATAAACTTTTAGAGCATAATACGGTTGTTTTTGGGAGAATAAGATTTTGTGGGGATTTTGGCTTCCTTTTTAGTATTTTTTTGTATTTCTTTCAAGGATATGGTTATGATTTGCTAGACTGCAGACACCAAGGTTTAGGAAGGAGAATGCACAAGTATAGTTTCCCCTTAAACTGGTCCGCCAACTAGCATCGACATCAATTGGGTACTTGTCAGATGTGCAGAATCCCGGCCCAACCCCAGAATCTGCATTGTAACAAGATCCCCAGGGCATTTGTATACACACTGAAATTTGAAAAATACTGCTTTAAAAGATCTAACAGCTCAAATCTCCAACAAGGGTGTTGGGCGGTGGCTTTCAGGAAGCTACAGAGATTAACCACTCAGTGGGGTTTGTAGAAAGAAGAAAAAAATTACTTTGTTGTCCACACGAAGTTCCTTATGCTATATTTTGACTGTGTATTACATAAGTGAAGGAGACATCTCTAGGTGGGCATCCATATGTTTTATAACATTCTCAGGGTGATGTCATGGGACACCCAAGGAAACAAATACAAAGGTTGGTGGTTGAATAAGGGAGAGGGGAAACCTTGTTTCCTTGGAGTGTGATAGGAGGAATCAAGCAGAAGACAGAGTTAACATTGTCTATAGGGGAAAAAAATAGCATTACCTGCAAGATTTCTCAGGACATTTAATTCTTTTTCCAAATTGTCTAAGGTTTGCTGATCAGCAGTGCCATCTAAGAATGGCTCGGTGTGGTGAGTAGTATCAATATATTCAATTTCTGAAATTTCAGAAGCGGCTCTAGATAATGGTCGAGCAGCTACACTTCTTGACCGAGGATGGGAGGAGACAAGGCAGCTGGAGCTTTTTTTAACAGAGTTGGAAAGGGATAAATTTGCTGTTGAAGGTCTCTGGGATATCTGGCCTAAAATGAAAAATAAAAAATTTTTATATCAACTTTTTAAAAAATTCTGAATGAATGCTTAAAGGTATAAAATACTAGCCCCCTAAATCTAGAACAGTTAAGGTCATACAACAGAGTTTAAGAGAAAGTGTACTTTAAATTATCATGCATTCTGGTTTACCACAATGTTTTAATCCCAAATTACTTTCCCTATGTCATAAAGAACACTTCTGAGTTATTTTTCCCTTTCTTTTCTACATTCAGAAAAAGACAAGCTAATTTTAACTAAAGCAAGAAATCTGTAAACCAAGTTAATTCCAGAACAATTCAGTATCTAATCTTCTTTTTTTCCAATTTCCAATCTTATAATCTATTCCCTAAACATCCCAAACTATGTTATGTTTCTTAAATTCTAGGATGACACCACACTGTGCCTTGTAAAAGAAAAAAACCCATAGAATAGACATGGGACCACTTCCCTATGAATTTTATTTGGTGGTGTGTAACATTATTCTATTAAGACAGATATGGAGACAAAATAATAGTATGCGAAATTTTCTAGAAAAACACAGGCTTTAAAGAAATTGAGATTCTATTTCAAATTTTCCTAAATATAAGTTCACTTTCTGCTGCTATAGAGGGCATTTTAGTGGAAAAGTTCCAAAAACACAGATCTAACTCGGGTTATTACTTTGTTCCACTATGGCGGCCACAACTTCGTTTTGACTTCGTTTAGTTGGTTTCTTTAACGTTTGTGTTTCTTTCATAGCAGAAAAGAGAACCCTTCAAATCTTACACTAACATAAAATAACTATCTCTCTCTCTTTCTCTATATTCATATATCCATCTATCTATTGATAGATACGTATATCTATCTTTTGATACTGCTCACAAAATTCTTTAATGAAGGTCAAGGGAATATTCAAAGTACAAATTTAGAAATTCAGAGTGTAGGTATATGTTTATATGTACTAAATCACTGTTCTTATTTAGATTAATATTTTTATATTAAATATAAATACTTTATAAGATAACCTTGTATCCCCTTAATGAGAATTGGCTTTGTGTAAAATGTTGAATTATTTAAAGAAGCACTACTTTCAATATCATGAAAATCATTATTTGAATGAACATACACCATTATAACATTATGCCTACTCAATTCGAAGGAAAATGTAAGATTCAGAAGAACAACTACAGGTAGTTGTCATGCATTAAACATTTAAAAACTACTGAGTTTGTCTTTTTTTTAAACTTAAAAATCTACTTTGAATGTAGCTAGTACTCCAAGAAGCATCCTAATGTAATACGTAATTATTTAAGCAATTAAAACTGACTAAGGTAAGTCCCAAAGGGCACCAATTTTAATGAACATTTCAGAAATCAATTTTGAAAACATTTTTTGTTGGAATGAAATTATGAATAAATTAAAATAAGATTCTGACCTTTTTGTCTATGTGCACAGAGATAATTATGAAGAAAAATTATTGACAAAAATGTATCTATGTTTGAGGACATACAAATGTAAATATCCTTATGGATTACTTTAAAGGCTAGAATTTAGAAATAATTTCCCCTTTTACTTGTAATACACAGGAGTACATCATATATAAAATAAACAAATACATAAGAATACATGACACACAAAAAGCAACCTTGCCATTCCTACATAGCAAAGCCAGAGCAAGAACAGCTAACGTGGAAATGTGAGTATAACAATAATTCAACTATATGAATTGAAAGTTCTGCATCTATGGAGAAAATGATACCCTTCTATTTGTATTGTGGTCTGTCCCAGTCAAGTAAAATTCAGAGGAATGCAGAACTCTGACTAAAATAAAACAAGTGGAAGATGTTATGAGGAAGAACCAGACTTCTGCCAACACAGGCAAATATGAGTCGAGAAAAATTTAGCATAATATGGATGTCCTTCAGAAGATTCCGAAGAACACAAACACTTGCCGAACTGTTGTGACAACATCTGGTTGCCACAGTATTAGAAGTTAATTGATCCCAGTTGAGAAAACAAGTACACTGAGGGTGGGATAGACTAAAGCTTAGCATGCAGCAAACAGACCATCTTTTTGTGGAAAATATGTTTAAAGAGTAATTTAAAATCCCCAAAACATAGAAAGAGACAGCAGAAGCTTCAATCTGGTCCTTGATTTTATTTATTTATTTTGTTTATTTAGAGGAGTATATTGTTCTCTGTACAGGCTTATTAATGTAGAAGCTTATTAATGTTACCACTGGGACTAAAATTTGAAACACCGTTAAGACTGACACTAATGAAAAGTGCCATGATGGAAGGGAGCACTCCATAATTTTTTTTTTAAGTTCAGCCTGTAGATTAGGAACATAAGAAGTTCTTTTTAGAGTAACTTGTGCCATTGCTGGCAATGTAATCTTACAAAATTATAGATTACCAGTGACCACAGTTATACTCTGAAAATAACTTAAAAAACTGTTCTTGGTATTAGCTAAAGAAAATATGCTCCATGACTACTAATGAGACTATGCTTGCTATTGGTAAGATAAAAGAGAAGAGCGTTTTGGACTTTATTAATGGGCATAAGAATGCTGACAAGAATATGAAAGTCTGAATTACTCAGTGAATGGTATTTAGTACAATAACTGTTATTGCCAGTCTAAATAAAAACATTAGAACTGGATGAAATATCAATAGAGCAACATGCTTTTTGTGCAGTGTCTCAATAACAAATAACATCTGATCAAAGAAGCCACTATTTTATTTCTGAATAAAGGTTGTAAAACATCATTGCCTTTTGACATTCTTGTTCTTCTGTGTAAATTACTAAGAATTTATACTTTAAAACATAAAAATGTATTTTCTAAGAGTTCTTGACTCTTAGAAATACAGATGTACTATATTAGATGGACGTTTATTTAGCAGTATGGGTTAGTAGAAAGAAGGCTAAAGTGGGAAGCACTTGTCCATTCTCACTGAATTAGAAATTATCTTGTGACCTAAGGCATGCAAATATATTTCAACCTACAAAAGTTAGGAGTAACTTGGGAGTTGGGACAGAATATCTCAAATCCTCTCCAACTCTGAGAGCCTATGAATTAATACCCAATTCAATTAAATTATAAAATCATTTGTCAAATCCTGAAATTGCCAGGCAATGTGTCAGGTTCAGGGTACTCAAAAGTGAATGAGACATTGCCTGTACCCTCAAGTTGTACTCCAAACTAACACACAGTCTTGCTCTCCTGCTTCCCTCCTCAGACACGTTTGCTAAGTGCTGACAATATGCCAGGCTGTGTTCCATCACTGAGGACGCAACGAAGAAAAGGACAGGCTAGGTCCTCGCTTTCTTTCCAACCAAGCGTAGGATGAGCAGAAAATAAATAAGTAAAATAATTTCATCTATTACTAGTAAACAAGTAAACAAGTACAATAATTACATCTATTCTTAGAAACTATTACTAGTTTTTGGAGAAGGACAAAAGAAGGTAAGTGCGATGGGGGTCTCAAGAGGCTGGCATTAGTTAAGGCGGTTTCAGAAGGCTTCTCTAAGGAGAAGCATCTGGGCTGAGATAGAAAAATGGAAAAGAAATGATCATTTGAAAAACGGTGTGCAGAGTGAGAAAGAGGCTACAGACCATTCCAGGTTAGATGGAAGACTAATTCTAAAGCTAAGGAGCAAGACAGAGAGTGGCCTGTATGAAAACAAAAAGAAGCCAGCCAGTGTAGCTGCACTGTGAGAGAGGACACTGTTAGCAGAGTTGGGCAAGGCCAACTCAGTACTGCTGTGTGATGTCTGGTAAGAGATGTCGTGGGTTTTTGGGTTTTTTTTTTCTGTCTTCTATAAGAAGCTATAAAATGCTTTTAAGCAGGAGAATGACAAGATACAATTTATGTCTTAAGTTTACAGAAAATGATATTAGCTCCCTATAAACTATAAACAATTTTATGGCTATAAACAATTCACTCACTGACTATAAACAGTACAATTTGATAGAAATTACTTACTGAAACTTGTTTTCAAGAAAGGCAAAAAGTGAAATTGAGAGATAAATGAGAGATAATGGACAACTGGCTTGGGTTCATCTTGGAATAAAGGTAGAAGTAGTCAGATTTGGGATCAGTATTAGAGCTGAAATCAACAGAGTCTAGGGATGACTCAGCTGTAGAGGGTAAGAGAGAGACAAGAAGGCTCCTGACCATCTTACCAATGTTTATATGGTTTTGTAGACAGAGACAGCAAAATGGGGTGGGTGAGCAGGAGGTTTTGGCAGGAGTTGGGGAGATCAACGGGCTTGCTGCTGTATTTCATAGCTATTGTGTTTCTACATTCACAGACTTAAAAATCTTACAGAAGAATTCCTTTATACACTAGCATCAGTTCAGAACATAAGATTTTGATAACTTGTGGCTTAGCCAGAAAAATTTAATTTTTATTTCAGGATACTGCTTCTGTTCAGAAAGTCATTTCCCTCTGCCCCTAACTAGTACATTTATTAATTCCTTAAGACTCAGCTGAAATGTCACCTGGTCTCTAACACCTTGGTGGTCTACACCTTTTAACTGCAAAGCAATCATTTTACCATCTCCATTCCTAAAGACTGCACATGTACCTACCTTTACTATAACTGATCACATGTACTATGATTATCATTTACCTGTCAGTCTCCAAAAGTATGTTACTCAAAGTCCTCTTACAAAATTTGTATTTTATATGGGGTCATTTATGTGTTTATGTATCTATATAGCAGTTTTCCCTAAGTATGATTTTTGGACTGTCTATATCAGCATAACATGAAATTATTGATAAAATAAGTGCAAATTTCTAGATCCTATCTCAACTTTAATAAATCAGAATATTAAGAATGAGGTGGTGAAATCCACACTACAACAGGTTTCCCAGGTGGTTATGCTCACGCTAACATTCTAGAACTTCTGCCTTAGACTAAGCTCAGGGATGAGGGCTGATTTTGTCTCACCAGTGTCTGCAGTGCCTGGCTTACAGTAAATGCTTCCACAAATGTTTCTTATAGTAAATTACTGATTTCAACTGATCACTGCAAATCAAGACTTAAAGGCATTTGGCTTCTTATCTATAAAGATTTGTCCTAACAAATTTCTCATAGCATGCATATGAATTTGTTTTCAGCAATATGTGGTAACTTAAAACAGTTCCTTTGGCTGCCTCCAAATGAAGCTACCAGAAGTTTTGAAGCTGCTTGAGACTTTGATGTGAGAACAGGTACCTAATTATAGAGCAAAAAAACATTTATAATAAATGGATGGTTTTTCCACAAAAAAAAAGAAAAAAAAACATTTTAAATCTGACAGATTATCAACATAAATGCATATGAAAGTGATCTAAGCTAGCCAGAGTTTGAATCATAGGATTTAGGGCAAGAAAGACATATAAATTTTGCCTATTTGGACAAATCATCTGTAATTAAATCTCTGGCTTGAAGATGGCACTCAGATGAAGGCAAATAACCCCCTTGTCAAGCGTTCTTCCTAAACCTGTGAGCTCCTGGAGATCAGGGAACATAACTTACGCATCCCTTTTTCCTCAGGGCCCAGCATCAGGCCAACATACTCAACACATGTCTGTTGAATTGCCCTAATTCATCAGTCATCAACAGCAACTTCACATGAAATTCAGCATAAAGCAAATTTACTGCAACAGGTGTTCTTGGATAATAATAATAATGACATAATAAAACTACTGATTTTAATGATGTCAAAATTCTCTGCATACATTCTCTAGGAAAATATTACAGTGAGATTCAACATTCAAAAGAGTTATCGTATAGACAATCTTAAAACTATTTTGGTTAGTGAATGGAGTCAATGAACTTAAATCAAGATTCCAGGGTTAACATATTCAGCACAAGATGTAGAACAGAGATGTCTCAACCATGGCTACAGAAAGCAATCTTAACCTAAACCATTCCTTTCACAAATGGCTATGTCTGATCATAATGTGAACCAAGTGTATGATATGCAAAATCTAGAACAAATACACTGTATCCAAGAGTGTAATAAAACTGAGTATGTATTTTATAAGGATTGTTTAAAATACACACCATACCCTGAGCTACATTTAAAAAATACTATTTACTAATACATTGTAGCAAAAATAACTAAGACTGAACTCATGTTGTTGAGAAGAATATGACAAGTCTTGCTTTTTCGGTTTTGGAAGAAAAATGTAAGGCAGCCAGTAAAATGAATAAGTTCACATTATGAAACTGCAAAAACTAATTTTCAGGTACCTAGTAAACTGCTCAGAGAAATTAAAAAACACAGTGAGTCATCAGTATGGCACTGTGGCCTTCCAGCTGATCTTACCTATTTTTCGTTGTGTTCTACTCGTTGACGGGTTCTGGGCACTCTGCAGAACACCCAAGGCAACTGCATTATCAGCATATGTACTTATGCTACGGTCTGGGATCCACTCTCTGTCTCCTAAAATGGAAAAATTGTAAGCTAATTTAAATCTTAAAAAGCAGAGAAATCCATATTATGGCTTTATTTTATTTATCATCTTACTGGATAATCTTTGGTTAAATAAGGAACTTTGATAACAGTGAGGGATATATTATAAAAGACAGAAATCTCATAAATACATAATAAAAACATTAGATTTGCATAGCATAATAAAAAGAAATAAACTGTAAATTGCAAAGATATCACACACACATTTGAATAAAAACAAATACTTAAGTATATAACAATATACTTAATATATAATAAAAACAAATACTTTAAGTATATAACAATATAACATAAAGCATAATAGTACATGAATAAACATATCTGAATACATGGGAAACCTAAGAATATAGGTGATACTAGAACTTGCAGAAGGAAATTCCAGCTATGTTTCAAAAATTCCTACAAATCCTGAGATTTTGATCTTTGTTTTTAGGATGGTATTTAAGAATCACCATACAGGGACGCCTGGGTGGCTCAGTTGGTTAAGCAGCTGCCTTCAGCTCAGGTCATGATCCTAGCGTCCTGGGATCGAGTCCCACATCGGGCTCCTTGCTCGGTGGGGAGCCTGCTTCTCCCTCTGCCTCTGCCTGCCATTCTGTCTGCCTGTGCTCGCTCGCTCTCTCTCCCTCTCTGACAAATAAATAAAATCTAAAAAAAAAAAAAAAAAAAAAAGAATCACCATACAATACTTAGCAGCTAATTAACTGATTCAAAGAATTTCTATTTCACAATTTAGTGAAGGCTACATTTCTAAATTCTAAAAATAATCTCTCCTCAGTCTCATTATGCTTATGTTCTCTCACATTCTGAGAGTAGCCTCAAATATAAATATGTGGCAACTCACAGAGGGTTAATAATTTCAGCTGGAGAAGAAGAAAATGACTTTATTCATTGAACAGAATTGCCCAGTATTTCCTAAAATGAGGATGAGCTGTTTTAAAAAAAAATGTCAGGAAATTGTTAGGTTGGTCCACAGGCCATCTGATTTCATGTCTGAATTTACCTGCAGTTGTAATCCTAGTACTGGAATAGTTGCATTCTAAGCTATGAGAAGGAAGTAAGTTGAGTCTTTCATTTTTATCAAAAACAAAGAATCTTTCAAGTCCTTGATATTGTTCAGTTATAGGCTTACTTCTGAGGGCTATTTCTTGTAACAACTAGGAAACAAAATATTCAACAAAATTAAGTTTATTTTATCTCATCAACACAAAGCAGCACATTCATTCATTGAGCACCTACTATGTTCTTGGCACAAATTCTCCCCTCATTAGATTTAGGTTCTTGTAATGAAGACAGAAAACAACACAACATTTATATATAGTAAGTCCTGAAAAATATATAAACCGCAATTATCATAATTATCTGAAAGTTGTCATCAATCCAAGAAGGACAGAAGATCACAAAAGAAAAGGTCTCCTTTCTCCCTCCTTTTATTTTCTTCCCTTAGTGTCTTCGTGCCTGAGTTACTCTGGAAAACAGATTCTTCCTCATATGCTGTGCTTTTGAATTAGTATCTTTGTCTATATATAAACTAATTTCAAAGATGAAAGTAGAATACCAAAGGGAATAAAACTTGTCATCGACAAAATCCAAGTTAACAAAATACTCATTATGAAACAAACATTGATGTAGTAAACAGAGGCAAGAGCGAGCTAAGTTATTTGAGAAGGTCATACAATTAGAATCTAGCAGACCTAGGTTTGGCTGATGTGAAGCATAGGCTTATTTTCTCACCCTATGAATTCATTTTGTGATATGCTTTCATCCTACGGAAGAATATTAGTGGGATTAAAACATACATGATTCTAGTAAGAAACAGATTAGAGATTCAGATGTGAGAGCTCTAGATGGGCTTAAAGCATAATGAGTGCTTTCAGTATTTAACAGTTCCCTAATGGATATAATTAAGGCCCAAATGCAGTCTGTTTCCAGGTAGTAAACAACACAAAAAATTATGATAACTCGATTCAAATTTATAAGTCATATAAATGATAAAACATTACAAAATAAAGCTAATGACCAATAAAGCACCTCCTTCGAAGACAAATCTAAGTTGGCTCTACTCATGGCATCTTCCCTGGTTGTCCCAGACACTGATTTTCAATTCATAGCAACCCTTCAGCTCTAGTGCAGCTCTTATTTGTATTAGACAACTGCAAATCTGGAACGTTTTTGTAAAGCATCAGTTGAGAGATAAGAACAAAGAAAGTGGGTTGGTTTGTTTCCCAGACTCACAAAGTTAACTACTGATGGTGTCAAAACCAGAACCAAGAGCCCCTAACTAGTCCATGTTCTTCCGGGCACCCGGACCTATTCCACTGCTGCTGCTCTACAACTTGGTACTGAATTCCATAGTTTCCACCTTCACGAAGGACTCAGTTTCTGAAAACTGAAGTGCAAAATGAATGATCATGCACTCCAGTGCAAGTCAAGTAATACTACTGCTAAAAATTGCCCCTACTGCTCAACCTTTAATTTTCTACTGCGGCAACATAGATTTTTAAGTAGTCTCTGCTCAAGGAATAGCTTCTACCACAGCAGGAAGAGAATAAAAACAATTCATGTCTAGTCATCACAGATGAAAACAAAGTAGATTCTATCACTATATATAAAGCACTGTTTTCTGTGACATAATCATTTACCACTTTTTTTTTATAACAATAGTATAAGTAATCAAAATACGGTTAGTAGCTCTGTAACACTTCAATTCTAATTATGAAATACTTTAAGTATGTAGATATGTATCATATATAACATGACTCGCTCACACAATTTAATATCCGTAATTTAAAATATTCATTTCCTGGGTGCCTGGGTGGCTCAGTCAGTTGAATGTCTGACTCTTGGTTTCGTTCATGTCATGATCTCACATTAGTGGGATCAAGCCCCGTATCAGGCTCCACGCCCAGCGGGGAGTCTTCTTCAGATTCTCTGCCTCTCCTCCACCCTCTCAAATACATATAAAGATTTTAAAATCTTAAAAAAAAAAAAATATTTGCTTCAGATATCCATGCCAAAAAATTAGTCTTTAGAGCTAATTGTATTATTGCATTGAAGTAGACATACTTAATTCCAATGCATGTTTTTGACTATTACTACATCTGAATGTATCCATAAAAAGTTATAATTGTCTTAAAATGTTTCCAAAAATACTGACTTATCTCTACGTGTCCTTTACATTTAAATTTTAATGCCATATTTTTTTAGATGGATCCATATAAATAAAAATAGTCCTATGTCATTCATTTTAACTGCTAGATTGCTTTCCATTATACAGATTACCACAGATTACACATCTGTGAGCTTTGGCCAAATGTCTTTTATTAGGTTACAGCAAAGAATGTCTCCCCCTAGGGCACAGGTCAGGCAGGCTTGCCCCAGTTATAAAAGAATTGGGGTCCTTATGCTCTAGGATTCCTCTCCCGTAACACAAGACAATGCATGTGTAGGTTGTCACTTAGCCCTCTTCATGAGGCCATGTAGAAATTGGAAAATTAGAGTTCTGTTTGCAGAAATTCAGTCTGATTGCTTTCTTCACTGGGGGAGGAGGAAGAAAAGCTCCTCTGCAATGAGGCTTTGTTTTTGAGATCTATTATCAGCTTAATTGTGAGAATGTCTTCTAGAAGGGATTGGATTTCTTCTGGCAAACACATTAAGGTATCAATAGAAATGGATTAAAATTAATGTGAATTTGTTGGCTTGGGGCTCCTGAGCAAGAAATATATATTTAAACTGTAAACCTATGTTAAATGAAAGCCCAAGATTTCCATCTTTCAGGGAAGGTATTTTATTGATCTGTCCCAGCTCCTCTGCAGAAATCAGTTTCTCTTCATCTTGTTGCATCTGTGAGTATGTCTCCCAGGGTATTCCTCCAGTGACTGAGAAGACTTCTACGGATCAAAAGTTTTTGCAAAGGTCTCAGTTCCAATTTTGCATTTCAAAAAGGAAGAAGACCCATCACAAGGTGGGCCCCAAAATCCAATCCCCTAAGCAGAAGGGACAGCAACTCCATAGTCATTCTTCTATGGTTTTGGCCCCACCTTCACTTTAGGCATCATGGACATTCATTTCATATGACTTTGAAGGGTTGTTAAAACATGTGACTTGCCTAATTTCCAAAAATTGTATTAGGTAATCATGATTGCCTAAGATTTTTAATATATAGAACAGAGATTCAAATATAGTTTCAAAACTTGGCATTAATGCAATGACAAGCTACTTTACTTTTTCCTCTAAGATGAAATGAAAAGTATACCCCTACTTATTTATTAGCCATTTTTCTGAAGGAACCACCTTTAAAACCTTGTACTTACATTAAGCCACAAAGACTAGTTCTATCTACATATCTGCATTTATTTCATTTTAACAGTGACTATACGGTAAAAAGCTAGAAAGGATTTATTATGCTAAATTATTCCTAATAATAAATTTCATTTAGAAAAGTAACAGCTCTCTTACTATGGTGCATGAGGTGGGCCTTAAAGTGTTGTCACATAAAACCGTTTGCTATAATGGTATTTACCATATTAGAATTTGTCCTATAGGTCATTAACATTCTTTCCCATATGAGTCATTCTTCAACTGTCTCATGACAATATAAGGTAGCACATTTTAACTTCAATAGGTAGTAATGTTTAAGAATATATGATGTCAATATAAAATTTTCTTATGACATTTCATATAAAATTTTTAATGTAATAAACATAATAGAGATTTACCAGTGGTGACTTGGTAGCTTTAGAATCTTCAAAGTTTGGCCTCTCATGCAGATTGCTAAATTCCAAGGCTTCTTTGATGTCCTGAGATAACTGCTCCTTAATGGAAGGTTTTTTTAAATCTATGCTTGGCAAAGAAGCCTTGCTCTCAAGTGATACACAGGAATCACCAGACTTTTGATTACTCTCTGTATCTATCATTTTCTCCTTGAAATTTCTTTCAGAAAAGCTGCTTTCCCCTATTTTCTCAATGGCAGGAGAATAAATGTCAGGATCCACAATGATGTCAAATTCTGTATTTGAAGTTCCTGCTGTTGAAAACAATTATTTACAAAAATTAAATAAATTAACTAAACTGTTAATAAACCAAAACTTTTGTGGTGTAAACCTTTGTCAATAAGCACTATTTTATCAGCATTTCTTTACTGAGATCTCAGTGTTAAAATACATTTACTCTGTTAATGTTTATAAATGATAATCATAATTTACTGATATATTCAAACCTTAATGAACCAGACTAAAGGAAGGGGGCAAGATTTTATTTTGTAATGAAATGTCAAAATTGATGCACATTTTTACTTCAGCCTGTGGTTCAATTCCCACTTTCCTACATCTTCTCCCACTCCAGTTTTATATTGGCAATTTATGAAAAATAATGCAGAGAGAACCCTATTTCCACATTTTGCGTCTTTTCCTTAACATGCCTAGTGATGAGGTGAGGGCAAGGGGAAATCTGCAGATGAAAGAGCAGTACCAGTTAGGGGCACAGAAAATGTTTCAGCTGGGACACCTGCTTCTGGAAAGCTACAAAATGAGCAAGATTATATTAGTCACCACCTCATTATGTCTGCTTTAAATAAATGAGTTGCTTTAGATCATTGGTTTACAACCTGGGTGCACAATGGAATCATCTGAAAGTACTCTTTAAAATTGTCAGTGTATGAGCCTGACCCCAAACCAATTAAATCAGACACTGGGAGTGGGATTCAAGCACTGCTTCTTCCACCTCCCTCCACAAAGTTCTCTCGGTGATTATAATGTGCAGCCAGGGTTGTGAAACATTGGTCTTAATTTTAAGAAGAATAAAAATTCTTTAACAATTTTTACACCATACTGCATTCATTTTAAATAACAGTATGTTTATCATTATCCAGATTGAATATAGCTTCATCTGATTATCCCTATGCTCTTTCCAATATAAATATCTTATCTCTATAAATAGATGGTATAAAATAGTAAAGGCTATGACTAAAATACTCTCCAGTGATGTAAATTCTGCCTTGCTGCCCAAAAGACCTACTTGTTGCAATCAAATGTTTGTATAGCTTAGAAATTATACATAGTATTTAGAACCTCCATTTCCAACAACTACCACCTCTTAAATCACACGAGTACTATGAGAAATACAGTAACTTGTATATCAGAGAAATATTTTTACAAGCATAACTTTATAAAAACTGTTCAATTTAAGGAAACTTCCATAATAATGCTGCATTTTCCTCCTAAACCTCAATAGAAATTAATTGATTTTTTGGTACAAAAAGATGCTATTTCTTCTATGTAAATATCTACAACTAACCTCTGCAATATTTTTTGCAAGATTGCAAAATTCTATTATTAGGATCAAATGTTGCTGAAGAGGTGACAAAACTGCCTTTTAATGATCTTTAAAAATGTGATGAAGAAAGTATAGGTATGATTTAATTTAGTCTATTCAGTGGAAGGCCCATTAAGCCATAAAAATCAGATGTCTTGGTTCAACATTTGAAAATCAATTAATCGAAAATGTCACATCAAGAGGCTAAAGAAGAAAAATCACAAGATCATATCAATAGATGCAAACCAGAAACAAAAAGGAACTTCCTCAACTTGATAAAGACTATCTATAAAGAGCCCTAGAGTTAACATCATACTTAACGATAAACTAGATGATTTAACCCTACCATCAAAAAAAAATCAAGGATGTCCCCTCTTACAACACCTTTCCAACACTGTACAAGTCCGAGCTAATGCAATAAAACAAGAAAAGGAAATAAGTATACAGATTAGGAAGGAAGAAATAAATCTAATTTTGTTCACAGATGGCATGATTGTTTATGTACAAAATCTGAAAGTATCAACCGAAAAACTCCTGGAACTGATTAGTGATGATTGCAAGGTTGCAGGATACGAGATCAAGATACAAAAGTCAATCACTTTCCCATACAACAACATGAATAAGTAGAATTTGAAATTAACAACACAATGCCATTAGAACTCAAAAAATGAAACACTTAAGAACGAACCTAACAAAATATGTAAAAGATTTATATGAGGAAAACTAAAAATCTCTCATGAAAGAAATCAAGGAACTAAATAAATGGAGAGATAGTCCATGTTCACAGATAGGAAGACTCGATATTGCCAAAATGTCACTTCCTCCCAACTTAATCTATAGATTCATTCAATCCCAATTAAAAATCCCAGCAAGTTATTTTGTGGATATTGATAAACTGATTCTAAAGTTTATATAGAGAGGCAAAAGACCCAGAAAAGCCAACACAAATGGAAGGAGAAGAACAATGTCACAGGACAGACACTACAAAACTTCAAAAATTACTAAACAATTGTAGTAACAAAGACAATGTGGTATGGGTAAAAGTATAGAAAAATATATCAATGGAACATAACAGAGAATCTATAGATAGTCCCCCATAATATAGTCAATTGATCTTTATCAAACAATAAAGACAAAATAATGGAAAAAAGACACTCTTTACAACAAGTGGTGCTAGAGTTGGACATCCACATGCCTCCAAAATAATCTAGACACAGACCTTCCACCCTTCACAAAAATTAACTCGAAAGAATGATACACCTAAATGTGAAATGCAAAACTATAAAACCCTTAGAACATAAAAATCTAGATGATCTTGGGTATGATGATGACATTTTAAGACACACACCAAGACCAGGATCCATGAAAGAAATAATTGATAAGCTGACCCTCATTAAAATTAAAAATCTGTTCTGTAAAAGATGGTGTCAAGAGAATGAGAAGACAAGCCAAAGACTTAGGGAAAATATCTGCAAAACACATATCTCATGAAGTACTGTTATCCAAAATATTAAAAAATCTAAAATCTCAACAGTAAGAAAATGGAGAGCTCAATTTAAAAATGGGCCAAACACCTTAATAGACCTTCATCAAAGAAGATATATAGATGGCAAATAAGCATATGAAAAGGTGCTCAACATCATATGCTATTAGGGAATTGCAAGTTAAAACAAGAATGAAATCCACCCCACAATTTTTGGAATGACAAAAATCCAAAACACTGACAATACCAAATGCTGGCAAGGATGTAGAGGACAGGAAGTCTCATTCATTGCTTTGGGAATGCAAATGGTACAACTACTTTGGAAGACAGTTTGGTGATTTTTTACAAAACTAAACATATTATTACTATGTGATCTAACAATTGCAATCCTTGGTATTTACCCAAGTGGGATGAAAAATTATCTTCAAATATACATGGATGTTTATAGGAGCTTTATTCATAATTGCCAAAACCCAGAATCAACATGTTGTCCTTCAATAAGTGAATGTATAAATAAATTGTGATACATCCAGATAATGAATTATTATTCAGTACTAAAAAAAAAGAGCTATCAAGCCATGAAAAGACATGGAGGCACCTTTAAGTGCATATATCTAGGTGAAAAAAGCCAATATGAAAAGATTGCACATCGTATCATTCCAGCTTGACATACATACATGACATTCTGGAAAAGGTTAAACTATAAAGTAAAAAGATCAGTGGTTGCCAGGAGTTAGGAGGCAGGGAGGTAACATAAAAAAGCAGGGCACTATAATGATGTTTTATGATACTATAATGGTGAATACATGTCATTATAAAGTTGTCCAAACCCACAGAATGTACAATACCAAGAGTGAACCCTAATGTGAACCATGGATGTTGGGTGATAATAGTGTGTCAATATATGTTTGTTGATTGTAAAAAATGTACTACTCTGGTTTGGGATGCTGATGGTAGCAGAAGCTCTGAGTCTGTGAATGCAGATTGTATAAGGGAACGATCTGTATATCCTGCTCAGTTTTGCTATGAACCTAAAACTGCTTTAAAAAATCAAGTCTATTTACATAAATCAAGTATCTTGTAAAGTAACACTTAATGGATACTTATATTCAGCATTTCCTCAAAGACAACTGGAACACCATGCTCCAGGTAGGTAAGAAAATATCTTTTTGGAGCCCTGTGAAGTCCTAAATTCCCATGTGGATATAGTTCATAGTTGGTCATAATAATTTAGAGGCTTATTAGTTGAAGATGTCAAAACCAGCAGGATTATCACAAATCATGGCTCTACCATCTATTACCCAATCAAAAGTAATCATCAGTTTTATAACTAGTTATTTTAAATAATGCTGTCAAGTATCTCTCAAAACTTTCATATAAGACATATTATTAGTTTTTCTGAAAATTCTAAATAGAATAAAATTATATTTGAAAGGCAGATTAGAAATAATCTAGTTCCTATGTTTTAGTTTAGGAAAATGCAATCTAAGAAAGCAAGTGACATGTTCAAGGTCACACAATGATTTAAGACAGAAATGGAAATGAAATTTGACTTCCAGACTAAGATAATTTATTGTGACTGTCTTTAAATGGTGCTCTCACCATCTGGAAATTGAAACCAGACGTTTACACCCAGCATTCTAATCTATAAATTCTAAGGAACTTACTAGTAATAACAATGTAGATATATAAACACGATGATTGGTTTGGTTTAGTTTTATCAATTATGTGAAACTTTACATCAAATTTGAATATTTTGGGAGATTTAATGTAAGGCAGGCAACAAGGTGTCAATTAGATTTTCTTCACTAAAAGCCCGCCCATGTAACCTTTTAAATGCTAGCTCAGTCCACAATAACTTTTAGACAGACCAGCCAACATTGCCTGCTTTTCTTCTGATTACAGACACCGTTCCCCATTGACTGAAGAGAGTATTTGCTAGAAAACTATATATTCAACCAAGTGTTTCTAAGTACTAAATTTTGGGGGCTTAAAATAAACAGCATAATAAGGAAAGCTTTTACACACTGCAATACCTACTGGTTTTATTAACTTGCCAACATTTATTGTTAATAATATTAATCTACAAGGAAAAAAGTTACCTTTTGAGTTATTTTTACAGTAAGAAGAGCTGTTGTTCAGATGAAGATGTAAGAGGTCTGTTTTTCCCTTGGTGGAAACGTGATGTTGATGGATGTCAGTTTCATACAGAAAAGTATTCTGATAATCATGAAATGTGCAACTTTCATGTTTCAGGGTAAGCAAAAGAGAAGAATTGAAATAAATGATATAGAAAAGAAAGTAAAAAGGCCCATCTTATTAAAATTACAGTAAAACCTTCAGGGAATAGGCTTATTCACATTAATTTAATATTTTTTTAACCTTACTGTGGACACATTCTAAACCACAAGTAACTAAATAGTATTATGGAATTTAAAGAAAGAGGTAACTGGTCAGATCTGATTTAATTGAACAATGTCAATTGAAAACCTCTTTTAAAAAATATTCTGAAATAAGTTTGTTCTTTATATTCTTTCTTCTAAAAATGGAGAGTTACCTACTAGTGCATTGAAATCTGGTAAAATTAGGGTTTTATTACTTAAATAAACTTTTTATTTGTTTATCAATGAACTATCAGAGTCAAAAAGCAATACATGGTGGGTTAAAGCCTCTGCCTTCGGCTCAGGTTGTGATCTCAGGGTACTGGAATCGAGCCCCGCATCGGGCTCTCTGCTCGGCAGGGAGCCTGCTTCCTCCTCTCTCTCTGCCTGCCTCTCTGATTACTTGTAATCTCTATCAAGTAAATAAATAAAATCTTTTTTAAAAAGGGAGGGGGGGCACCTGGGTGGCTCAGTGGGTTAAGGCCTCTGCCTTCGGCTCAGGTCATGATCCCAGGGTCCTGGGATCGAGCCCCACATAAGGCTCTCTGCTCGGCAGGGAGCCTGCTTCCTCCTTTCTCTCTGCCTGCCTCTCTGCCTACTTGTGATCTCTGTCTGTCAAATAAAAAAAAAAAAAAAAAAAAAGGGAGGGGGGTGCCTGGGTGGCTCAGTGCGTTAAAAAGCAATACGTGATATTTATTTTCAATTTTTAATGATGGCTACTATATACTTGAATATGTACAATTCAAACAACACTTTCTATGAATTGAATCTAATATTTAATAATATCCAATATGCAAGCTTTATGTAGTACCACCATAAAAACTGGATTATGCTACTGTGTCACTTATGATTCTTTATGGTTCTCCTTAGAAAGGAAGAAACTTAGGATGCCTGGGTGGCTCAGGTGGTTAAGTGTCTGCCTTCCACTCAGGTCATGATCCCAGGGTCCTGGGATTGACTCCCACCTCAGGCTCAGTCCTGGGATCAAGTCCCACATCGGGCTCCTTGCTCAGTGGAGAGCCTGCTTCTCCCTCTGCCTGCTCTGCTTGCCACTCCCCTGTTTGTGCTCCCCTTTTCTTTCTCTCTTTGACAAATAAAATCTTTTTTTTTTTTTTTAAAGGGAAGAAACTCTACAGGCACCTCCATACCCAAGAGACAAAACCATTGCCAAACCATGATCAGTAACTTTCTCTGCCTTCTGTAATACCCTACGTGGAAGTCAAAGCAGGACTTGCGATAAGACATATAAAAGAACCAAATTAGAGAGCAGATATGTCATTCATTTTCTTAGGAATACAGTAGTTCATACAAATCTTTTATCTACTGACTAAAAGGTTATCTCCTGCCAAAAGCACATTGGCTGCTAGACATCTGGGTCTATGTGTCCAAACATGGGTCTTTTCCCTTAAGAAAGGGACAGGTCCAAGGATATCCCTTAGGCCCACTGCTATTCCAAAATGCTGATAGATAGGGCTTACGTTGATGTGAACGTATAAGCAAAAAATTGGCATAGGAGCTACTTAACAGGACTCTCACTCTGCTCTTTACCCAACTTAATACTTTGTAATCAAAACACATGAAACCCTGGCTAAAGTTTTAACAGCAAAGAAGACCCATAGTCCTTTTATCATTACTAACAGATACAGCTATTATTTTTCACTTGGAAATGACAAAATTCTAAAAAAAAGTTACAAAGTGAGCTGTTATACTATACTATACTATTCTTATTTATCACATAGTAAAATCTACCTAGTAACTAATCTATAGTTTGGGAGCTCTTTTGTCTCTCAAACTAATCATTAATGTAACTTTTTATTTAGGGCTCATAGCAAACTAAAATAAGAACAATTCAAAGAGTATCTTTGGAGAAAAGAAGAAAGCTCATATGACACTCATCATCCTTGGTAAGTTACTTCAAATAATAATGCTAAAATCAGAAGTATTTATTAAATAATGCAGATACTAGGTAAGAATATAAACATATCATTATAGCCATGTTGCTTACTATTGAATGTTGGCAAATATTAGCAATATTGTACACAAATTTAAACATGGCTTTAGTAAAATATATTCTAACATTGAAGTCACATGTTTTTTACATCATGAATTTCTCATTTAAAGAGATAGTTGATTTTGAGAGTAGGTTTTTAATAAGCATCAAAAGTGAGTTAGCAAGATCTTACCTTTGTTGACTGTCTGCATCTGCTAACTCAACTTTGTAGGGCACTGTGTCTCCTGGTTCTTCAAATTCCTCTTCATAAGTCTTATTAAATACATGTAGTAAAATATCAATATATTCAATAAATGTATTATACATTAACCAGCTAACTAGTATGTAGTATTTAGAGAATTTTCTTCCTACAAATAATGTCATTAGCTTTCTGGCTATGTGCCATAGAACATGAGTTCTAGAAGAACTAAACAAATACAACAACTATTTGTTGAGAGCATTTGCTGTGTCAGCCATTTTATCCCTACTACCACACCTAGAAATAACACTAACAGCTGTTTTATTATGTAACTACTAAGTGCCAAGTAGGCTAGTGACTGAAGTGTTTTTAGTTCTCTGAACAGCGTGTTATAAGCTTACTCTGTGCATCAACAAAATAATGACAAGCACACACACATATATATATAAGCATATGTGTTTATTTATTCTATATCTTAAATTTATCCAAGAGAATTAAAATGTTTCTAGGCATACATGCAAAAAGAGCAGAAGTTATTAACCTAAAGAAGAAAGTGGTCCTTAAATAGATACTTCTTTTCTTCTAGTCTTTTTCTATGAGAACCACAGGGAGAGAAATATTGAGGACAAGTTGTACATTCAGCTACCAGATAACTAGAAAGTCAGAAATGTGCTGACACATTAAGTTTTGTCAAAACTTAAACCTTCCACATAAGCTCTACCCCTGATTGGCTGAAGCTCCAGTTGATTTTACTTTGTGTCTTCTAGAGGTTTGTATGCAAGTTATTATTATACTAAATCCCTTAAATCTTAGTACTATTTTTCCTTTAAATAGAAAATAATATTAGATGGCTTCAAGAAACAACATGTATACAAGTTATATTAAATAGATACGATATTAGGAGACTAATTTTTGTTTAAAAAGATTGATAACATAAATATCTAAGCAAAACAAACACTAAACTACATTTATATAAGTTAAAAGTAGTACATTTCCCACACTACACACTTCCAAAAATGGCACAGTATCAGTACAGCTCAGAAATGTACTGCCTACACTAAAAATAATACTGTTTTACTCCTTTCAACATATTTAATTCAAACTCTTATAAACTTCCTTCCAAACAATGTTGAATTATGAGTAAAGTCTTCTTAAATATAATACATAGTTGTAATTACGTGTTTTGAATTTCTTGTTAGGTAACAGAGTAGTCATTATGCACTTACATCATCCAGTTCAACTATTTTTAGAGATGGCCCAGGTCTCTCTATGTTTAGTTCTTCTACTGGCAGAAAAGGCGCTGGGTATTGTACTTTGGTCTCCTCAACTAGGATATAAGATTAGGAAATAATATCTTAAAGAATATACTTTACCTGATAATTCCCTATCTTCAAATAGTTGACTATGTTATATAGTCAACAATAAAAGAATAATGTTCTCTTGTGCATCTACACTAATATGTAAATGTTATCAATTTCCCCACCTCAAGTTAAAATACACATTTTCTTAACATTCAATGTTTAAATAAATAAAATGATATAATTAAGGCAAAGTAAATCTATGGAATGGGAAGAGGAGTGTGCTTGATTCTGATCTAGAGACAAAGGGTGCATAGTCCAACTGAAGATAATACAGCAATAAATAAATAAATAAATAAATGCGGATGCTGACTAATGCTTAGTGTGTAAAATTTGAAATGATAAATTAGAGAATATCAAACAAGTCTGAACTAACCATCACTATTTTCATCACTTTCATTCTGGGAACACTGTGCCTCACTCACTGTTTTACATTGAGGTATGAATGTATCTGGTAGCATGTTTCGAAGTTGCTCCTGTGGAGTTCTACAAAACAAGAAAGAAGCAATTGTAAGATTAAAATCTATTATGTGAAATTTTCCCAGATGAGATCTTGATTTATTTCACAAACAAGTGAGTATACAAAATTAATGATGAAAGCAAAGCTATGCCTCTAATTCACAGAAGTATGATTGTATAACAGAATCTTAATCTACTAAAATAATTTTATAAATTAAATTAAGATCACACAAGATTTTTCTTTTTTTTTCAAAATGTATTTATTTTTTGAGAGAGAGAGAGAGAGAGAGAGAGCATAAGCAGGGGAAGGAACACAGGGAGAAGGAGAAGCAGACTCCTCGCTGAGCAAGCAAATGGATATGGGGCTCGACCAGGACCTAAGCCAAAGGCAGATACTTAATCAACTGAACCACCCAGGAACCCCCACACAAGATTTCTCAATTGCTTGTCCTACTATTATTCATTTAGGGTGAAAATCAAAGTTATGATAGAAGTCAGCATTCTTGCAGAAGCCACATGGAGCCCATGAAACATACTACACTATTTAAAAAGCTAATTTATGGGGGCCCCTGGGTGACTCACTTGGTTAAGTGGCCAACTCTTGGTTTCAGCTCAGGTCATGATCTCAGGGTTCTGGGATCAAGCCCTCCATCAGGCTCCATGCTTAGTGGGAAATCTGCTTTATCCCTTGCCCTCTCATGTTTCTCTCTCTCTCTTTCTCTCTCTCTCTCTCTCAAATAAATCTTTTTTAAAAAACACTAATTTACGAATGTGTGTTGTATCACAGCCTCCATAACATGTTGATAGGTACTAAGGGAACCTAAAGATATTCTTCTAAACTTTCACCAAGCCAGTAGGATGATAAAATCTGCTTCCACAATGTGAATGCAATATGTTCTGGCTGTCACATTTATCACCCAGTTAACGAGATCTGATGTGGCCATCTCATATAGAAGGCAACAAAACACAGGAATTCTCAGAGGTCAAGATTATGCATCTAATTCCAGAGGGTATTCCCAAATTATCAGGAAGGTGGTACTTTTCAATCAAGAATGTAAGTAGCTACAGCCCTTCCAGACCATGCCAGTTCAAGGAGTCCTCATGTAAAAGTCAGGGCCCTCTTAATGATAATTCTGTGTAGCACTGATACAAAGCTTAAAATTTACCAGGCTCTATTCTAACTAAGTTGGGGTATTAAAATATTAATAGGTAATATTAAGTAGGTACCAGTATTATCTTAATTTTACAGATGAGAAAACTGAGGCACAAAGAAGTAAATCAAAGTGTTCAAAGTCATTCAGGTAGTAAAAGCAGAAGAGGAATTTGAACCCAAGGAGTCCACCTCCCTAAGTCAATGTTCTTAACCACTACTTTATATAACCTTTCTCCTAATTTGCAAAGGCAATAAAATTTGATAATCCGGCAGTCTATGGCTAAGTGCATTTTAGACTATTATGGGCAATATATGTAATGTACATATCAGAACACTCCAAAATATTTATATTATTTAAATATTTATATTATTCAGCTTTGTGTCTTAACAAATTTGATGGGCATGACATCTTACATCTATAATTTAATTAAGTGATGGAAAATATTAAAGAGTAAAGGTCAAAACAAACTGGCACCTGGCCACCAGAAACCTCTTTCCAGTCTGACACAAATATACTATACAAAAAACTCAATCACAAATGCACATGAATGTACAATTATCCAGGACTCCTTTTAAAGTAAAAATTTACCTTATTTAATGAGCAAAACCCTGAACCAAAGGCTTATAGAACCTAGACAACAGAGTATTGGAACTATTGATTCTTTATTCTAGACTCGAAATTTTGAAGATGAAAAATGTGGACCAAAATATTTTATCAGATTTGCCCATGAACAAACAACTAGGTAGTCAGTGACCTAGGTGACCTAGGTCTGGATATTGGGACACTGGCACCAATGCTTGTTTGAAAGATCATGCCACATAAATAAAGGGTAAGCATCTTTTTTTTTAAAGATTTTATTTATTATTTATTTGACAGACAGAGATCACAAGTAGGCAGAGAGGCAGGCAGAGAGAGGGAGGGGGGAAACAGGCTCCCTGCTGAGCAGAGAGCCCAATGCAAGACTCGATCCCAGGACCCTGGGATCATGACCTGAGCTGATGGCAGAGGCTTTAACCCACTGAGCCACCCAGGCACCCCAACGGTAAACATCTTTTAAAATAAGACTACCTCACCAGATTTTCCTCAAAATTTAAATAGATATTTATTGAAGACTGACTAAATGACAGGTACACACTACTGAGTTTCATACCAAAAAGACTATTATGGGCATTACACTTTATAAGAGATATAGACAGCTTGGACAGCAGTTGTACAGGAATAATCAGAAGAGTATATGAATGAACTTAAATACCCTGCCACATAAACCACAAGGGGATACAACTATACACCTATGAAAATGACCACCACCAAACAAACGATAAAACAAGCAAACAACCCTGAAATTACCAGGCACTGGCAAAGATGGAGAGCGACCAGAATTCACACATTGTGGGAAAGGACACAAATTGTGCTTTGCAGAAATGGTCTGACAGTTTCTCATAAAGATAAACATGCACTTACCATATGATCTAGCCATCCTAGTCACAGGTATTTACCCAGGGAATTAAAAACTTATATTCAAACAAAAGCTTATTTGTAAATGTTTCTAACAGATTTGGTCATAATTGCCAAAAACTAGAAATCAGCAGGATGTTCTTCAACAGATTAATGGATAAACTGTACATCAGGATGATGAAATTCTCCCCCAATTACGGGGGAGGATTTTGATTCACTGAAGAACACAGATGACTCTTAAATGCATTTTGCCAAGTAAAGGACACAAAAGGCTACATATTGTGTGCTCTCATTTACATGACATTCAGAAAAAGGCAAGTTGCCATGTGTTGGGGAAGAAGGGTTGAGTACAAAGGGGAAGCAAAAGGAAATTTGGGGGCAATGGAACTGTGCTATTTGATACTATGGTGAACACTTGACTCCAGGCATTTGTAAAAACCCACAGAATCATATACAAGTTTATGCTATTCAAATTTTAAAAAGTACTCAGCATTTGGACATAACTGAGTGAATGGCAGAACTACTCTAAAGGAGGTGAGAAAGAAATGAGGGCCATGGCCTCAGCAACTTTGAAGGAAAAGATTTGGACTGTATACTGTGGGCTAAAGATAAAAAGCACTGCACAAAGAGTGTGTCGTAGTGTAATATATATGTATATACATACACACACATATATAGTAGTATACTATATACATATTTATATACACACACACAGGATGATAAATGAATAAATATATCATAGATAATGAAAGCCAGGATTCTTACTGTAGGTGAAAGAAACTACAAATAAGCAAAGGGAGAATGTGATGCTGGTTTTGAGTCAGAGATATGAGTACACTCACATTTACTTTAATAAATACTCAGGTAGATAGATACAGAAATAAATTTGGCTCTATGTTTATAGTAGGTAAGTATACCTACATATATTTCCTAGATGTTCTCTGAGAAGACCTAGGCTCTGTGGTACCTTTGTAGCCATGAGCATACCTATAATCCAGATCTTGGTTTCTGAATCCATTTTCAAAAAAAAAAAAAAAGAATCAAGATTATTTGGAAAAATTATTTCTGGCCTAGGGCACAGAAATGTATCTTGAGTGTCAGAAAAATAAAGAGATGTTACAAGCAAGCCAACCAACAAACAAAAAAGGATGAGACCACGTTGAAAGCAGAGAGGAGTCAAACTAAATCAGCTCTCAGTGGTCAAGACAAGAACCATTTGAGTCACAAAATAAATAACAATAGTATGGGATATTAATCCAAAAAATAAAACACATATCCGGAGTCTACACAAATAAACAGAATAAATAAATGGAAGGGGGAAGGAATATTCTTCCTTGAAGGATTCTAATTAGTAAATATAGAAGAAATGAAGGAAATAGAAAATCCCCAGATATTCTGCTTCCGGCAAAATCCACTGATATACTAAAATTAGTAGAGGAAAGTTTAAGGAAAAACAGCATTTTATATCATCTCACGGTATCTCCCCTAAAACCCGTATTAGTTATTATGATGTGAATGTGCCCCCTCCCAAAATTCATATGCTGACATCCTAACATCAATGTGGTGGCACTAAAAGGTGGGTTCTTTGGGAGGTGAGTAAGTTATGAAAGTACAGCCCCCACATGGGACTGATGCCCTTATAGAAGAGGTCCAAAAGAGCAATGTGGGGACACAGCAAAAAGAGCCTATGAGCCACAAGGCAAGCCATCGCTAGACTCTGAGTCTGCAAGTATCTTTTTTTTTAATTGATTTTATTTTATTTATTTGTGAGAGAAAAAGAGAGAGAGTATGTACCTGCACATGCAGGGGGAGTGGCAGGCAGAGGGAGAAGCAAGCTCCCTGCTGAGCAGGGAGCCCCATGTGGGACTGAATCCCAGGACCCTGGGATCATGACCTGAACGGAAGGCCAATCCCTAGCCAACAGCCACCCAGGTGTCCCTGAGTCTGCCAGTATCTTGATCGTGGACTTCGAACCTCCAGAACTCTGAGAAATAATGGTTTTTTTTTAAGGCACCTCAGTTTATGATATTCTGTTTCAACATCCCAAATGCACAAAGACAGAAATTGGTACCAGAAGTTGGATGTTGCTAAAAAAATGTAAAAGCAGCCTTGGAACTCACTGATGGGTAGAGGCTGAAAGAGGTTTAAAGTTCATACTAGAAAAAAAAACTATAGTGTTATGAAAGCACTTTAAAGACAATTTTGGTGAGGACTCAAAATGAGGAGAACAGAGGAAAAGCCTCACTCTCCCTACAGAATACCTAAGGAATCCTGAACAAAGTGTCTGTAGAAATATGGATGGTAAGTGCCATTTTACTGAGATACCAAATGGAAATAAGGAACATATTATTGGATGCTGGAGGAAAGGCAATTTTCATTAATAAAGTAGCAAAGAACTTGGCTAAACTATGTATTTGTCCTGGTGTTTTATTTAAAGTAGAACTCATGAGTGATGAAATTGGTTCTGTGGCTGAGGCGATTTCTAAACAAAGTGTTGAAGAAGAGGCTTGGTTTCTCTTGACTGCTCATAGTAAAAAGTAAGAAGGAAGAAATGACTTAAAGACAGAATTATTAACCAAAAGATAAGCAAACTTAAATATTTAGAATATTCTCAAAATATATATATTGAAAAAGAATGAGAGGGCCTATTCAGGTGATAACAAGAAGTAAATGGCCAAAGGGCCATCTGAAATGGAGATTAATCAGAATCACCCAGATAGAAGTTGTGACTTTCATCAGAGACAATGGAAAAATGACCTCCAAAGGCAATTCAAAAATCATCAGGGCTATCCCTTCAATTGCAGGCACAGAAAGCTCCAGGCCACACAGCCAAGAACATCTGTTGGGGCAATGCCCGGTGAACTATGAGGGTAAGAAAGCCCCTATAACTCCGAACTAGAAATGCCACATGATTCTAGCCCAAGGGAGCCACAAGATGTGACCCCACACAGGGCCATCATAGGAATGGGACCACCCAAAACCATGGAGGCAGAGACACCCAATGTCTTGGGAGTCCCAGCCCCAGCACAGCATAGCTATGGGGGCACTCCTTAGTGTGTCTGGAAGGCAGGACCCCCATTCTAGTGTGTCTGAATGGTGGGACCTTCACCCCAATGGGCCTTGGAGTACAGAACACCAATGAAGAGGATAATTCTCAAGACTTAAGGTTTTATAGAATTTGCCCTGTTGGATTTCAGGCTTGCTTAGAACCTGCTACTCCTTTCTTATACCCTATTTCTCTTTTTTTGGAATGGAAATATTTATCCAATGCCTGTCCCACCATTATATTTTAGAAGCGTATAATGTGTTTGATTTCATAGGTTCACGGTTAGCAATTTGCCTCAGAATGACTCACACATTGAATCTTATCTATATCTGATTTAGATGATATTTAGATGAGACTTTGGACTTTAGACTTGAGTTGATGCTAGAAGAAGTAAAACTTTGGGAGCTCTTAGGATGGAATGAATATATTTTGCATGTGAGAGGGCTGATGAACCTTGCAGGGAGCAGGGCTGAGCTATGTTCAGAATGGTTCATATGTTGCAATCCTAACCCCAAAGTGATAATATTAGGATGTGGGCCTTTCAGAGGTGATGGGTTCATGAGGATAGAGCTCTCATGAATGAGATTAAAGCCCTTATAAAAGAGACCTGAGAGTGCTCCCTTGCCCTTTCTGTCACAGGAGGATACAGTGAGAAGGCGGCCATCTGTGAATCAAGAAGCTGGCTCTCTCCAGACACCGAATCTGCTGGCACCTTTTTCCTGGACTTTCCATCATTAAAAACTGAAATGTGAATGTTTGTGTTCATAGGCTACCTGTTACTCTGTGTAACAACCCAAGACATTATTTACAAAGTGAAAAGAGTGAGTATGCAGTGGAGGAACTCGGTGAGCACCACATTAACCACGGGCTCAAAGTTAACATGCTGGTAGTAAAATACACTGACAGTATGATTCTGTGATACCACACACTAAGAAGGGCATATCCTCTCTGTGTTAACCTTCCTCAAAATGCACAACCTCAATCTAATTATGAAAAAAAAAAAAAAACAGACATATCCAAATTGAGTATATCCTATGAAACACCTGGCAAATACTCTTGGAAAATATCAGGGTCTGGAAAAACAAGGAAAGACTAAGGAAGTGTAATGGATAAGGAGCTATGATTAAGAAAGAAAAAAAAAAAGGCAATGTGGATCCTGCATTGGATACAGGAATAAGAGGAATAAGGATGACGATGGAAAAACTGGTGAAATCCAAATAAAGTCTGTAGTTTGATTAATAATATTGTATCAAAGTTAATTTCTTGGTTTTGATACATGCACTATGGTTATCTAAGATGTTGCCATTATGGAAAGCTGAAGGAATGATATGTGGGAAATCTTAATACTGCTTTACAACTCCTTGGTATGCCTTATTTCAAAATTAAAAAAAAAAAAAATTTAAATATGTCACATGAAAAACAGTTAAAGGGACATGGAAGTAGATAGTAACCTGTCATCAAACAGAAGCTTCAAGGAAGATATGAGGGTTGATTTCAAAAATCCAAAGGAATGCCATGGAAAGGAAGAATTCAATTTGCTCTATACTGGCTTAACTGGTAAAGTTGAGACCATGTTTCGAAACCAGTCAGACACAAATTACAGCTCACTAGGAGATCCTACAGCAGGCAGAAAGTTCCAACGATGGAATGTGCTTTCTCAGGGGAGAGTTTTATATGATTGATGGTGAAGCAAGAGCTTGATGACCGTTCCTCAGGTACCTTCAACATATTGGCACTCCAACGCATTGGTCCTCAAAATGCAGTTCAGAGACCAGAATTACCCACACTAGTACCAGCTGGGAGCTGTTAGAAATTCAGAAATGCAGAGCGTCAGGTCCCACCCAGACCTACTGAAGAAGAATCTGTATTTTACCAGTCTGCCCGTGATTCACAGGCACAATAAAGTGTGAGCAGCCCTGCTATAGGAAAAAGTGAGACTTTAAAGGTACCTCCCAATATGGATCTTATTTGATCATAAAAATGTGAATGACTCTAGCATGTACTCAGTCATAATTCTGGTCTGAGATTTAACAATTTAACTGTTGAACAATTGATGAAATGGCACATCTAATGACATAGTCTTTGAATAAAATAACTGAATACTATTAATAAAGCTATAATATTAAAGGCCTAATTAACTTAAAAGTAGATTCTAAAAAGTAGAGCCTCAAAAGTTTATGCTAATGTAAAAAAATGAGAGTAATACCTTTTCAAAATAATCATTCATTACACATTATTTTTGCTATCATTTTTAAATTCTATACCATATTTGTACCTTTTTTTCACATACATATTTGCATTTCTCCTAGCAAACTCTAAATTAATGGTGCATAACATACATAAATAAAATTTAAATTCTTATTAGAATAGAAGAAGCTTCACAGGGATTTAATATTGTTTTAAAATTATTTACGCAGGGACGCCTGGGTGGCTCAGTTGGTTGAGCAGCTGCCTTCGGCCCAGGTCATGATCCCAGCGTCCTGGGATCAAGTCCCACATCAGACTCCTTGCTTGGCAGGGAGCCTGCTTCTCCCTCTGCCTCTGCCTGCCATTCTGTCTGCCTGTGCTCGCTCTCTCTCCCTCTCTCGCTCTGACAAATAAATAAAATCTTAAAAAAAAAAAAAATTAAAAAAAAAATTTAAAATTATTTACGCAAATGTGAAGCACACATATATAATTGCTACAAAAAAGCATGTCACACAAGCCAGGAACATAAATAGCATTTATGTTTCTTATTAATAATACAAAGCTTCAGAAAATACCTCCTGTGTTTTTTAAGCCATAACTTTTCCATATAGGATAGACTGTCTTCTTTAAATTCAATATTGAGTGGTTCTCTCCAAATTTTCAGATTAGTTTGTACTTCACATTCTTCCAATGAGTCTATAAAAATAAATATAATGTACAAAATTAATGTAAACTAATCTATAAATTAAATCTCTCAAGATAAAAAACTCACCATTTTTGAAGCAAATATGCTTGTAGTCAATAGTTCTAGGCTTAATTAATGCAAAATGTTAACTATTAGTGATTTATTAAATGACTGTATAGACAGTTTTCTTCAATAATCCCTTGAAATGAAAGAATCTTATGATTCATAAGGTTTTTAAAAGGAACCAATTCTCTTCAATGATAAATATGAACAGATTCATTATATATTCTATAAATGCAAAGACACATAAAGGTATGTATCATAGCCACTGACAATAATATTTACACATTATGGGAAACAGAAAATAAATAACTCAGAATGGCACTTGGAGGAGACAACTGTCTTCATGAATTTATATCTACACGGCAATTCACTTCCAGATGCTTAAGATGTTTCTGAAGTACTACTAAATTAAAACCACTATTCAGAGATATTTAAAACTGATGGAGATTTCTGGGAAAGAAAGCAGTGTAAATCCAGGATTACCAGTCTCTCCACCTTCTTGGATACCATCCCTCTCTCCAAACTGACCATAAGAGGAGAAGAAAAACTTCTGAAGGAGAAGAAAGGGAAGTAGTAAGGAAGAGAAAAATTAGTTTCGAAGACTGAAACTAAAGAATTGTTCCAAATTCATACCCCACAGCCTTTAAAGATTAGCTTCCAGAACAGCCAAATGCCAGCAATAGAAAGAACCAAAAGAATTCAAGCCACACTACCCATATTCTTCCCCTAAAAGTGGAGCTTTGTCAAAGAAAGTAATTGGAGGAAGTTCTGAGAAACACTCCAGAATGCACTAACCTGTGAGCAAAAGGAGATCCCTCCACTACGGGTCCTCCTTTCCAGTGCCAAACAAAATATGTCTTGATAGGAAATCTGAAACTAAAAATGAGGACTCACTTTTTTCTCTGACTAGGCATAAAGAGGAGCCACTTATCTGAGAGATAACTCCCAGATCTATCAGCTGATGAGGAGGAAGGGGATAAAGCATCTGGCCTGTGATTCACTCTTCTCCCATTACCAAAGGTACATCCCCTGGAAATAAAGTCAGTGGGTAACCTGAGTTAATTTGCTTGTGAATATGTTAATAACTGAACCTACTGGCAAATAGATTAGTGATATTAATGGAAGCACACTCTTACCTGTTTAATGCATTTAACAGGATAGCCCTTGTTTAGAATTGCTTACAGAAAACAATTCTAGGACACATGGTTCTATGAAACATGTCTCTCTGAAAAGTGCCACATAAGCTACATAACTTGGGTTTTAGTTTGATGGCATTTTTTCATGTGTCTCTGGCTACCTTTTGTGAGAGAATTTGTGTGAGATGCCCCAGTATTCATACTGATGGGATGGTGGGTGTTTTTCTCAATAGACAGTGCCAAAGTCTTAAGGTAAACATATGTTTTGATGTGTTGGAGTAGGTGTTGGAGGAACAGTCAGACAGCCAGTGTAGCTGAAACAGAACAAGCCTAGTAACAGGATCACAGAGATAACAGACTTGAGATTACATTGAAACTTCTAGGCCATTTTAAGTACGTGCCTTTCACACTGAAGGAGATAAGACTTTGGAGTTCACTTAAAATGAAATGAAGTTAGAAATCAGTAACAGAAGGGAACCGAGGTGGCTCAGCTGGTTAAGCATCTGCCTTCAGCTCAGGTCATGATTCCAGGGTCCTGGGAACTAGCCCCACAAGTCATGCTCCCTCCTCAGTGGGGAGTCTTCTTCTCCCTCTACCTCTCCCTTTGCCCCTCCCCTGGCTCATACTCTCTGTCAAATACAAAATAAATATATTTTTTTAAAGTCAATAACAAATAACTAGAAAACTTGAAAATTCAAAGCATGTTACTAAGTTAAATGGCCAAGAAGCATATAAAAAGTATCACTTGTAATGAGTTACACAAAGTAAATATGCCATTTCATCTCTATCAGAGCAGCAAAAATTTAAAAATCTGACAAAACATTGGTGATAATGGGAGGTAACCAAACTGCTTATCTACTGGTGGGAGTATAAACTGATACAAATACTTTGGTAAATAATTCAGTTTTATCTAGTATAGTCAAAGACATATGCAGCCTATGACCCAATTATTCCACTTCTAGGAAAAGACATCCTAGAAACGTGTGCATGTGTACCAGGAGACCTATACAAAGATATTCAGACCGGCATTGTTTATAATGGCAAAATAGGAATCAACCCCCAAACCCATCAACATTTAAACAGGTAAATGGTGGTAACTTCCTATAACAGAAGAATATTAAGCAGTAAAAATGAATAAAATACAACTATGCACATCTTCGTGGGTAAAGTTCAGTAAATAATAGTGAGTGAAACAGGCTGCAAAAGAATATATACACTAGCTTTCCACTTACGTAATATTCAAATACATGCAAATTTAACATATTATTTAGAGATACACAAAATACAGTAAACTACAAGGAAATTTTTCTTTAAATGAAAAATACAGAATCTAAGTTAGTGACAATCTCTTAGAGAAGAGGAAAGAAGAGAGAGAACAGGTGCTTACTGCTTTGTTTTTCTCCAGAATCTACACAAATTTTGTAAATGTTCTTTTCTATATACTTAATATGTCAGGAAAAGAAAAATATTGACAAACATATACATATGGTATACACACAGTCATATATACAATACTCCGGGGCAAGAAAAATCACATATCATATCAACAGAAGTCCTCATCTTAATGATTTCTCTTCAGCAATCACTGACGCAGTATTTCTACATTTAAAAATTTATTTTAAAGTAATCGTACCAGTACACAAAGAGCTAAGATGGTCATTATAACTTATTTTTACCATAGTGAGCATTAGAAACAAAATATCCATCAATAAAATCCTGATTAAGTAAATCTTGGCATACAGAGTATTATGCAACAGTTACAAATGATGACATATAACTGTATTTATATGTAACATTGTCGATGATAGAATCTAAGCAAAAAAGTTGCAAATAGCATTAATAGTGTCACCCCATTTATACTTGTGTGTGATGGTGCAACTGTGTCTATTGAAAAACATACCAACATGTTAACATTGATTAGATGGTTGAATTAGGTTATTCTCATTTTCTTTTTGGTTAACTTTTTGTAATAATAAAATCATGCAAAATAATCATTATGTTATTCTTATAATATAGTTATCACCACTATGAAAAACAAAGTTTTTTCTTCTCTGATCTTATCTGATTTATCATATCTGTCCCTTTATTATTTTAAGTCTTTCAAAGTAGACAATCAAAAGATATTTGTATAGAAGACTTTTCCCTTTCAGAGCTAAAAAGTAAAAAATACATCAAAACTTGAAAGTTCAAATAAAAAAACATAAAATAACACAATCAATGAGAATTATATTAAGATATATGCTACAAAGAGAGTATACAAATAAAATCTTGGAAGTATTAATGAAACTGATGCAGCATGAACAAGGGTAGGGAAATATTTCAAAGAGAAAATTATTTAGAAAAAATTCCAGTTCTAATTGGAAAATGGTATGTGATACCTTGATGTCAGGAATTATAAAAAATGTTTAAAAATGAATAAAAATATAAAAAATGAGTAATCAGGAGAATTCCTGCACAGGAAAAAAATGAAGTAAAAATAATAAATTGGATCCTGTCAATAAAGATACATGATTGAAATTTATTGTCTCACATTTTATTTTCAGTGAAAAGCAACTGGAAGTCTCTATAAGATTCTGAGAAATAAAATTAATTAATCAAACAGTTTGAGAAGTATGATATCTCTCAAAAGATTCTGGAAAACATTTATCCTACCCCCTTAACCCCCCATGTTGCATCTCCTCTCCCTCATATCATAAAACAGAAACAGTATGTGCCTCAGTCACCCAATCTTCAATGTCTAGAATATGGGTGCAAAATCATCAAGGAAAAATATAAACAAAAAATATTCCTTTGGACAGGAGGGGAAAAAAAGATAAATCAATTCTCCCCCTTAAGTTCACCGCGGTCCTTGAACTATATTTTTTCAAGACACATACAAAAAATTCTTTACTTCTCTATCTCACAGATCCTCTTGTTTTATATTTAACTACAGTTCAATAAAGGAACAGTTGTCCTGACAAAAACATTCTGCCAGGAGTGGGGGAGCTGAAAGCATCCAATTCTGCATTCATTTGGCAGTCTGAATTTACATAGGAAACAAACACAAATCTCCCCAGTGCTCAAGTCAGGGTTCTATAAATATTAAACCACTTACCCTTGGTTGTACAGTGAATGCTCCTTTGAGGAGTTATATTAAACTGTTATCCTAATGCTAACAGTTTTTAAACACTGCATTTATATTCACAGAGAATGGAGATAAATAAGATAAATCCAACTTTATTTTATAACATTCATTTGATAAAAGTAGCTGTACCTGCTTTTGCTGCAGGTGAGTTCTGTTTCTCGTTGTCATCTTGATGTCCAGTTCTCCACTGATTTAAAGTTTCCGGAAAGGACTGGGCAGAAGCTTCTTCATCAGATGACCCTTCACAGAGGAGCCTATCTTTTGGATGTGAACATTCTGCTCTTTTTGTGGTTGGAACTTCTACCTAAACCAATTAAAAGTGCATCTAAGTGTGCTTTTTTAAAATTTCCCTATCTTAAAATATAGGTAGCATTAATTATTAGGCATTTTGAATCATACACTGCTTTTTAACTTTAAAATGGAATTTTTTAAGTTGTACTTACACATATGCTTTACTGATTTCTTTAAAACAGTATGGACAATTAGAAATGGTCCCTTCAAAAATTATTAAAACTAGAGCCTGCATGACTGAGGATTTATCATCATGTTATTCACCAGTGTTCCCCATGGGGAGTGGCAATAGCCATGAACCTAATCCCCCTACTTCAATCTGCTACCAGCAAACTTCCCATGGCAGAGAGAGCAGATTTTTTTTTTTAATATGTGAATCTGATCATGTCATTCCTATATTCAAAACCTTCCAATGATTCTTTGAAACCCCCAGTTCCTAATAGGACCTACAAGGCTCTGCAGACCATGTACTTCCCTGCCTTTTTACTATACTTCCTTCAATTCCCCTCTTCATTCATCAAGAATGTTTACATTCTTAGTGCTGAGCCCATTAAACACATTCTCACTCAAGGGCCCTGCACTAGCCACATCCAATACCTGGAGTGACCCTCCCTCCATATTTTCACATAGCCATTCCACTCATTACAGTTGGTCTGTGTTCAAATGATGACCCTACAAATATAGCTCCTTTACCCCCACCTTCCATTCCCTTACCTGCTCTCTTTTTCTCTGAAAAACATCTCTGTGTGAATTTAGTCTACATGTTTGTTTGTTTATTGCCTATCTCTCCCCATTAGAATGTAATGAGATCAGGGATTTTTTCTTTTTCTCAGTGCCAAGAGCAGTGCCTGGCACAAAGTAGGTGCTCATTAAAAGTTAGTTGAAAGAATGAACAAATTAATTAATACATATGAAGCATCACATGCTTCTTGGCATAATGATAAGAGGAAAGGATGAATTCAGCACAAAATATAGACTCACTGTGAATGCACAGAAGAAAATAAAGGTAGGATTTGGTAGTTACACACAGGATCAGAGAAAACGGCCAAATTAGGAAAATAAGGCAAAATAAAGTCCACACCAATGCTGAATTAGCATTGTGGATTTACCTACACTGATCAAATTGCTAAATCTCCATTGTGTACATTCTAGATACAAAAGTGAGTTCTCTATGTTCACCCCTTGATTACAAAATAAACAGGCAGACTGTTAGAGTATAATTGAGAAAAGAGCATTAAATATGTGTCCAAATTTTTGAATATAAACAAAAGGCATTTGGGAATCTTAAGTCACTGTGCCAGCTGCTGGCCACAGAAACATGGGTTTAAAAGTCCACAACAGAAACAAGTGCAAGAAACAGGTTATTTAACTCAGATAAGCAAGAGTTGTATGGGTAAAAAGTGGTAGGGACAGTATTCCAGAGAGAGGGGACGGTATATATGCCAAAACATGGAGTCAAACAGCACAGTGGCATGGAGCCATTAGTAGTTTACACTGAAGTAGTAAAAAGTAGGATAAGAGAAAATATAATCTGTGTCCAATCATGAAGGATCCTGCCTGCATACAGAGGAAGTTAAACTTACACATAATGGAAAGTCAAAGTCACTGTAGACTTCTACACAGTAGTTTGGGAGAAAGAGAAATTAAGGAATAGTGAGTTTGGATGCAAAGAAACCAAACCAGTTAAAATATTACAGCTAATTGGTAATATCTATCAACATTACAAACACATGACATGTATATATACACAAACATGTATATATATATGTATATATATATATACATATATATACATGCACAAAGTATATTGCATATATATATGCAAAAATATTTTTCAAAATCACTCTTTATATTCTACTTTGAATTGGCAAAAGATCAAAATAATGTAAATGCTAGTCAGTGGAAATTTTAAAATTTAAACTTACATTTTAAAGTCATTTTTATCTAATAAATAGGGTGTTTTATAACCACCATAGAATGAGAAGGCTATAGAATGTACTTATGTGAATATCAAAACATTTTATAAAAAGCATATTTGCAGAGCAGCATATTATTAGTTGTGAAAAGAAATACATACATACAAAATGGGAATTACTATTGGCTTCTAGAAAGGGAGAGAATGAAATCCAGGTTCCATGTAGTGAACATTTTGTACTTCAAGAAAAAGCTAATTTCCATATTTGGAAGATCAGTAAGGACAGAAGGGCCCAAGTATTCAAGTGAGTTTTTAGACAGTAGACTGCATGAGACATGGTAGCCAATTGGATGTGCAGAGGAAGAAGAGAAAGGACTACAGAAAATGATGGTTCTTGGCTCACCTGAAAAGCAAGAAGATAGGCTGTCATCAACAGTGACACCTATAGGTTTTGGAGGAGAGGTAAATTTGGTTTGAAAGTACTGAGTTTTAGGGTCACCTGCGTGGCTCTGTTGGTAAGTGGCCAACTCTTGATTTTGGCTCAGGTCATGATCTCAGGGTCATGGAATCAAACCCTATGTTGGGCTCTACACTGGGTATGGAGTCTGCTTAAGATTTTCTCTCTCCCTCTCCCTTTGTCCTTACCCCCTCCACTCACACTCTCTATCTCTAAAAAAAGGAGGAAGAAAGAAATGGAGGGACAGAGGGAGGGACGGAGGGAGGGAGGGAGGGGGGATGGAGGGAGGGTTGAAGGGAGGGAAAAAAGAAAGAAAAGAAGTGCCAAGTTTGTGGGAGGTATTTATAGGTATCCAGTAAACAGTGTGACTGCACATATGTATGTATGCTGCACTAATGAAGAAGCACTGGAAACTCAGTGCTTAATACAAAATGGTTTAAGTATGCAGGGATTACAGCAGGTGTCCAGAGCAGCTCCTTTCCAACCAATGAGTCAGAGATATAAGAATTCCGCTTTTTATAGCTATGTTTTTTGGAATACTTGGCTTCCTCACAGCAATGGCAGGATAGGAAAAATCAGAGGACTAGACATCGGCTTTCAAATGTTTGAGCCCAGAACTCTCTCATATGCCACTTCCAACTCAAAACCTAACATGATTCTACCCAATTCTGAAGGGAATAGGAAATTTGAAAGAGCATATGGAATTCAGTGGATAATATTCATTATCCTTCTAAGCCACATGGTATCCTTGCAAGATGTGGTTTAATATCCCCACTTTCTAGAAGAAAAGTCACATTTTAGCAAACTCACTCAGTGCTTCTGATATTTTATGTATTACAGCTAGAGAGCCACTGCTCTTTGGCACTGAGTACAGGTGCTCACTTAAGGGCTGATAGCAGTGATGTCCAACTGGAATACTTACACCACCATGACTGAGCAGTTGTTAAAATCACACCTGTGGACCCACCCAAAGAGAGGCAGAATTTGATCATGTGTGTGTTCCTTTAATGGTTTTCCAGTTGGTTCTGATGTGCACTCCTGGATGAAACCACTGAATTAGTAGTTTTTAAGTTAGGAGGAGAAGTAGAGAGGGTCTATCTAGCATATACAGTCACCTATGGGGACAAGAGGCAGCATTATTGTAGGGATTAAAAGCACAGGCAAAGGCATAAGCTTTCTAGTAGGGCTAGTTACTAAGTTCCTCTCTGCCTTTGTCATCTGTTAAATAGAGTAATAAAAAATGCAAAACTTATATGGTTGTTGTGATTATTGGATAAGATAAGGCAATGAAAGGATTAAGCACAATGCCTAGTGTTAGGTGTTTAACAAATGTTAGCTGTTGATCTATCACTATTTTTAACAATTAGGTAAATTACATAAAATGGCATGCAGGAAGGAGAAACCCTTAATGCCACAGCCTCTGTGTAGCGGCTAAAAGCAAATAATTTGGAGTCATAAAGTCTAGGTTTAAATCTAAGTTTCGTTTATACCTTGGGCAATTTATAAAAACTGATCTTTGTCACTAATTTTCTCATCTGGAAAAAGTAGGGAAAAATTAAGAGAGGACAGAAAGAGATAATACTTGTAAAATATGTAGGACCATGTCTGGCACAGAGTCCATTTTCAACGCATCACTATTATGATAACAAGGCCATAACTCATTCAGGGATTCTTCACAATCACCATTGACAGCTCTATTAGAAAGTGAAATCCATGTAAAAACACTGACATTCCTGGACAATTCAAGCACAGTTTCTTTGCTGGAAAGAGGTCCTATACGCATAAAGCATGTTTTCTTCTTTGTTCCATGAGCATGGGTTAAGAACTCAAGAGACTGAAGTTCAAGCTTGACCCTGTCACCAAGTAAGAAGTTGTGTGACTGGCCATGTTTGTTACTATTTCTGAACTGTAGTGGAAAGGTGAGTGGCATCTAAAAGGATGAGGATTATAACATAGATCAAAATTCAAGGAAGTTTGTTTCTTGCTAAAGAATCATTACATGTCCATTACAAAATATAGACATGAACTGATGAAAGCTTATCTAGAACATCATGGGATCAGTAGTCAATCTGAATAATGACCAGAATTTAGTGTAAGTCCAATTTTAAATAATTGTAAAATTGCCCATCACCTAAAAAAAAAAAAAAAAAAAAAAAAACAAAAACAAAAACAAAACAAAACAAACTTGGCAAGGTTTTGTATTTTTAGCCTCTCTGAAATCCTAACTAAAATAAAATTGTTATATTTCATTGTGTTATTTTTTTTCATGTTTCTCTCAAATACTCATTCATTTCCTTAAATGGCCCCAATGACTAGAAAGCAACATGTCAAACAATCATTCATAAAAAAAAACAGTCTTCAGTGGAATCAAAGAAGTCTCCTTAAAGAAAGGATTTTTACAGTCAAGATGTTTTTGAGTCTTAAAAAAATTCAAATATTAAACAACGTGATGGAATAATCCACAAAACTGTATGCCTCTAGTTAAGTCTACGAATGACAGTCTCCATGATCATGTATGACAGAAAATGTCTACTCTATTTTCTTTAGCTTACCCCAGAGTGGATCCCCTGTAGAAGAGATTTGGGCTTGTTCTCACTTTTATTAATCTCTTCTGGAGAATGATTATTCCCTTTGGGTTCATCTGGATTAACTTCCTTGATAAACCGATGGGCAGCATCCAATACAGTGGATAATATTTGAGATTTTGCCTGTTAAAAAAGAAACGAAATAGGACTAAAAAGACTAATACGTCAGTCTAAGTAAATTAGATACATTAAATTGCATTTTTTATTATTCTATGATTACTAAAATCTAACACATTTTATTTAATATTTCAAAATACAAATTGACATTTATATCAACCAATATAATAGTGACGGCTGCCATCTACTAAGGAGCTAGTTTGGTCTCATACTATCCCAAGTATCTTAAAAACATATCATTTAATCTTCAAGTCAACTCTAAAACATTACTATTTTTGTCTCTGTTTTAAGAATAAAGAAATGAAAGCTCCTATAGTTTAAATAACTTAGGCCTGGTCACATGGTGAGTGGGTGGCAGAGCTGGGAAATGACCCCAGGTGTGTTTAATTCTGACTCACAGCCTTTCTACTATGTCAACCCCAAATAGATAGATGTGTTATTTTTGTACAACATAGCTAAAGAACTAAATATAGCTAATCTAGTAGGAGCCTGAATAAGCAGTAATGAGTATCCCTTGGTGATAAAACATCTTTGGAAAGTATTAACTATTCAAAAGTGCACATCAGGAAGTGCCTCTACCTGAAGGTTCCTAGTAAACTCCAAGTTGTTCCTCATTTAGTATCTTTGCCCATGAGTTTCACTAACCAGAAAGGATTTCCCTCCTCTACCATCTTCTTTGCCTGGCAGACACCTACTTCTCCCTCTAGATTCATCCCAAATGACTCCCACAGGTCTAGGAACCTTTCTTTGTCCTCCTCACTCTAGCTGTGTGAGGTGCCCATCCTCTGTACCTTCTTCAGACCCAAAGTAGATCTCTAGTAACCCATACAATATTGACTGTACATTCCCTTTTGGTGTCTATCTATTCCATCATACCATATAAGTTCAAAGAAGGAAAAAATCTTGTCTTCTTAAATCTTTCAGGCACCACAGTGCCTGGCATATAACATATGGTAAAAATAAGGGGAGGGGGAAAGAAGAACTGCAGAATTAAAATAAATGACTGAGAAAAAGACTTCAAAAACCTCTCCCCATGCCTTCAGTGTAGCTAAAAAGGAATGGGCAACTCCTAGAAAGTCCCTGTTCTCTGAGAGGTCTCCTATCAGCAACTACTCTGATCTGCCCTAGGATTCTGCAGATTCTGGGTTGCATGTGACCTTGAACCAAGCAAACTACAGGGTGAAACTCTGAAAACCTGGTATTAGAAAGACAAACAATAGGTCGTACTCCTTTAGCAAATGTCCTCAAGACAGAGAGTAACTTCAGCAGGGATTAGAAATAATTATTTGTACTTTCTCATGGAAATATTCCTATTTTTACATTTTTATCTAGTTACCTATTTAAATGACTAAGATTATACTGAATCTTTCCTGTTATGACCTTTTACAGATCTGTTAAGATTCACTGCAAACTCATTCTAGAATAAACCAATGAAGATCAAATTATTTAGTGTTATTTCATGCTGAATTAATGGATTATCTATGAAAAATGACTAATGTGATATATGCATATTTATATATACATATTTTATGCAGAGATATCAGTGATATTTGATCTAAATTTTCCCAGTGATCATCAAAAAGCCTATACAGACTTATATAATCATTTTTAAAAGAAATTCAAGCCAATGGTAATGCTTTACCAAAACAAGTATTTTTAAAACAGAGTAATCCAATATAAGCCTGATTTTAAATTTCCTAGAGTAGAGATCTATTGATTTCAAAGGTGATTAGAAGGTCTACTTGTCATTTTACACATTCTTAAAAGTAGTAAAAACAACTATTAATTTTACAGGGATTTTCTTTCTTAGAACATCTTATATTTAAATATTACTTTTCTTAAAAATGTTTTTAATTTAAAAAATAAATACTACTTTTTTCAGTTGTAAGTGTATATACATTTTTCTTACTCTTAAAATAAGCATGCAGGGGAAGAGACAGATACTATGATCCCCATTACATAGACAAGGAAATTCAAGCTCATAAAGCTTATGTCAAAGCCAAATGAATACAAAATATTGCAGCTTGAGTTAGAACCAAGATCTTCCTTCTTTCAGCCTAATTTCTTTACCCTACTGAATTACACTAATACAGATAATGTGTTTTACTTTTTTTATTTCCTAAGACTTAAAATATATTAGATTTTATCTCCATAGATATGAACATTTTTCCTTCCTTTACAAAAAAATTGTAATTATGTATATAATTGCTGATGTGGGAATTACATTGTTTAGTTTTTGTTTCTAACTTATTCTTATTTTCATGTTTGACTAAGCACTAGAAAATTGAAGGGAGAAACAGATTCTTCTTTTACTTGTCTCATCTACTATCTGCAATGTCAGGTTGGGGAGGCATATGAACTTTGCAAAAACAAAACTTCCAAAAAACAAAATTAGACGTATCCTATAAGAGTAGAATTATAGAACACACTTAAAATATCTATCTCTTAATTAAGAGGTATAAGATTTAACAAAATTATTAAGATTAGAAATTTACCATACTGCTATAACATACTATTTTACAATACTTTTAAGTTCCTAGGTATGTGAAAAATATATCATTTATGTGTTAATGATTTGCAATTTCCTGTTCTCCAAATCCAATCTTCCCCACTTATTCCAGAGAAGAATATATAATCTAGGTGGAGTTTATGATAGCTTAACAGAATGTGAGAGGTAGTAATGAATATTACTTCTACTGGCAAGGTGGTAAGAAACTACCCTTTTTCCTGTTCAACAAGCCAGCTAGATGGATGTATAGTTACCTTGGAAATAACATATCTAAGATGGTGGTGCTACACATTAAAGTCCCTAAATCAAGAGGGAGGGAGAGGTTTAAAATGAGATGTCTTAGGAACATCCATGTTGAGATTTAGGTAAGTAAAAATTAAACTTTTACTGTTTTAAGCTACTGAGATTTGGGGGTTCTTCTACTTCAGCAAGGATTCCACCAATATATAGCCTCATATTTGGAACTACTCCTAACTGGGTATTCTGTTTCACCGGGGAGGGGGGGATGTTTTAAATGTGTTTCCTATTAAAAACACACATGAACATATTACTTCTACGTCTTGCCAAAGTTTTCCTTTCTAATGGCTAGCTTTCCTGCTATAATTCTGTTTATCATTTTAGGCCCAGATCAAGTATTACCCAGTTCCAATGTATCTCAATGGCATTATAAAAAATAGTTCAGAAGGGCAAATTATTTAATTTCTCTGAAATGAGTTTTCTTCTTCAACTAACTGCAGCAAAACTTATGTATTTTCTAAGGGCCCTTATAGATCCTTGCTCACATCAGTACTAGAGCTTTGTTCCTCGGTGTGTCATCTATGTACCAGCAGCATCACCATCAACTGGAAACTTGCTAAAAATACAAAATCTCAGGTCCCGCTCAGAACCACTGCAACAGAATCTGTGCCTTACCATGTAATTTGAATGTTCACTAAGTTTAAGAATCATGCATTATACCATTCGGTTGAGTTACAATTGGTTGAATACATCTGTCTTCCCTTTCATGATTATGAATTCCTTGAGAGAGGGGACCATGTCTTATTCTAACTTATCCATGCTTTATATCACCTTCTTTTGCCTTTCCTCCCTGCAGCTTCATCCTTCACACTTTGCAACTAGAACATTGCTTGACACTGGTTAAGTACTTGAGAAATGTTGGTTGAATCAAATTTCACTGACTTACTGAGATAAAAATGACTAAATATTCTATTTGAACATTCCTCCCCTATACTGAAGCTATCTAAGTCAGTGTCAACACAGACAAAATCAAAGGCATTGTTAATAATAGCATAAAGGGGGAAATCACTTATCTTTCTAAGCCTATAAGATGAAGACATTATGTACCTTACAAAGCTGTTGTGAAAAGTATACATCCTGTATGAAAATCACCTACCAGAGTGATGACACAAAATAGTGCATCCAAATGATTGCTACCATTTTATCTAGATCACAATATAATACTTCCCTGTAAGTAAGAGAAATAGTTCAAATACCCCAAAAATAGAATTCTTATTCAATTCAATAGAGAAAGATAGAACACCTGACTATGGTATAATGAAGAGGTCAGCAAATAATTCTATCCCCATAAAACAAATGTTATACTGGATAAATTTTTTAAAACTATTTCAGGACTCTGGGGACGCCTGGGTGGCTCATTTGGTTGGACGACTGCCTTCGGCTCAGGTCATGATCCCGGAGTCCCGGGATCGAGTCCCACATCTGGCTCCCAGCTCCATGGGGAGTCTGCTTCTCCCTCTGACCTTCTCCTTGCTCATGCTTCCTCTCACTGTCTCTCTCTCAAATAAATAAATAAAATCTTTAAAAAAAAAAAAAAAACTATTTCAGGACTCTGAAATCAACCAAAAGCTAACAAAAAGTTGAGAAATATTTACTCAAGAAAAACTACTATGATATAACTCAGCAAAAATCTATGGCTGTTTCTTGTATCTCCCTTCCCAAGTTGGCCAATGTTACTAGGGAAAGACTGAACAAGGAGTGTGTTTGATTCCTGGCAGAGGGCAGAATCTTAAAATTATAGTGGCATTATGAGTGAACTAGCAAATTTGACTATAAACGAATGGGGAAAAACCCACAGCTCTGACAGCCCGAGGCTTTGGTCCCAATTAAGGTGAGCAGTGGACTACTCAAACATTTAATGGGATGATTCTGAAAATTTCTGAGAGAGTTATAGAGGAGCTATTTAAAAATGGAAATCATAAAAAAGAACCAAATGAAAATTCTTGATTATGACCTAGAGTATGAAATATTTTAAAAGGAAAAAAATTCAGTGTACTTAAAGTTAGAGATAAATTATCTAATTTGAAGAGTAAAAAGTAAAAGTTTAAAGAAAATGAAAACAGCCTTACAGACCTACAAGACCACATCAAGAATCCCACACACATTTAATGAGAGTATCAGAGAGAAATGAGAAGAAAAATATATATGAAAAAATGATGGTCCCAAACTTAAAAATTATTACTTTAAAAATCCAAGAAGC